AGTATAATCCCACCAATGGGGTCTGAGGAGGGTAGTGTGTACGCAGACCTTAACCTCTACCCTGGCGTAGAGAGGCTGTTTCCGATAGACCCTCGGCATCCTTCTCTCCAAGAACTCCCCGCCTTGTTCTTGGGATGGCTCGAACTCACAACCTCTTGGTTGGAAGTGGAGGGTGTTCATCACTGGAGCAACCCACTCTTGTCCTTCTACATCTTATATAATGTATCAAAAATAAATAACATAAATCTTTGGGAGTATTTAGAAAAATAGCTAAAACAAATTAAATATATCTTGAGAATGGTCATGTAATAGTCTTATACTTCTATAATCAAAGGAAATATTTCATGTTTTCACCAAAAATTACACTCTCAAGAAACAAAGAAAGAGATGTACTTTGCAATAAATCAATAGTCAAGTGTATACTATCGAAGGATGTGACGGAATGGTTGTAATCCCTCTATTCTTAATCAGAAGTTTCACACTCGAGTTTTGTAAATTAAAACTTCTTGTTGGGGAGCATTTTACCCCTTTATTGATTCTACTCAGTGCAAATCCAGATAAGTCCAGCTAGTAGGCTCGGACAGTGGCGGAGCCACTCACTGGCAAGGAGAGTCAATTGACACCCCTTCGTCTGGGAATTATACCGCATAGATAGGTTAAATATTATATTTTTATGTATATATATTATGTGTTGACTCCCCTTAATTTCTTCATATGCTTATTTATTTATATTTTGATACCCTTATTGAAAATTCTGGCTCCGCTACTGGCTGCGGATATCAAATGGTTAAAACAAAACAAAAGAAGATGTCATCATGTCTTTCCCGCTCAAATAAATTTGATTTTCCATCTCACATCCTTCAGTTAGTTAGAGTGAGTTGGTTGAAATGACGATAATACCCTCAGAAACCTTTTACTTGAAAATCATTTCAAGGGCAAATAGTGTCAAATAACTGAATTATGATTCTGTTATATAGTTACAAAGACGGAGCAGTATATACACTAATAAACGGTTTCCATTTTCCTTTTCCCAAATTGCCCCTCCCTCACCAGAGTTTTTGCAAGTATATATATTGAGCTAATTCATCCCCCATTCTAGCAAAGCCCATAACTTCTCTCTTAATTTACTCTTTCTCTCTCTAGTAGAATAATCAGTATCTTCAGCTCACTTCAAATAGCTCGTTGCTGTTTCATCAGGTAAAAACTCTTAATTCCGTTAATCTTCAATTAAAATACTTCAAATTCGTTGAATTTCTGAATATATGAATGTGTGTGTGTGTGTGTGTGTGTGTGTGTGTGTGTGTGTGTGTGTGTGTGTGTGTGTGTGTGTGTGTGTGTGTGTGTGTGTGTGTGTGTGTGGCATTGGCATTATGTATTAACATGCTCGATTACGTATGCATTGTTGCCTCTGCAATGTTAGATTGATCAGTTCTATGTAAAGTTTCAGTTTTGATCGAACTTTCTAGAAATAGAAATTTTTTAGCGTGATTGTATAACTGTAAGGTTAATTAGAACGAATGAATTGAAATATCTGTGTGAACCGTGTTATACTGTAATATCATTATTAGTAATTACTTCCATTGCAAGTTTCAGAAGTACGTTTGGTTTACTGTGTATTGAGAACTTAAAAGTGAACGTTTGGTTGTATTTCTGATTGTTTCCAAATTGATGCTAATTTTTACAAAATTATAACGAAAATAATTGCTTGAGCTTGTTTTTTGATCAATTTTACTTTTTGAACTTAGGATTAGATAAATATCGAACTAATTTCAGTAGAAAACTGTTACATTTGCGTTTATGGAGGAACTCAAGAGAGGAATTTTGGAGCTCTCTAACTGAATTTTTCATATTCAAATGCAGAAATATATAAGGTCTGTGTGTGTGAGAGTGTTCGTATCTATAAATAGGAAGACAAATTGCTTATTTTCAGACTGATGAATTTGTTTTTCCGATTTATATCTGCAGCAACTTGCGTAGCATACAGATATACAAATATAAATCGGCGGGTACGAAACACGTTGATTTTTAAGCACGAGAATATGCAGAGAGAAAGCTCAACAACCGCCGGCCACGGTGGCGCGTACAACTACAACACTCCGTCATCGCCGCCGTCGTTACTCAGTCAACCAAATGCATTCAATCTAACATCACTTTACTCGTCGATTTTATTCCCTCAAAATCAAAATTCTCAGTCGCTTATTGACCAGCATTATCATGAAGATCTCATGGATCGTCACAACAGAGTATTATCTCAGCTCCTCGAAGCAGAGAAAAAAACCCTAGCTCTTCGTCAAGAGAACATCAACTTAAAAATGGCGAATTTCAATTTGAACAATCAGCTGTCGTTGTTGCTGAAGGCTACGAGTTCGGATTATGGGCCGGGTTTGGGCCTGGATTCGGTTGTGGATGGGATACGGAGAATGCATATTGGTGTTGGTGAGGAGGAGACGTCCAGTGACGGGCATTCGTGGGAAGATTTAGTTGCGGATCGTCATTTGAGCCCAACTAGCGTGATGGATTCAGGTCGGGCTGAGGGCGTGAATCGGGTTCTATTGCCCAAGAGTATATCTGTACGTTCTAATGGTTACTTGAAAACAATTCATGCTGGTGGTGGAAGTAGGCCGCAGACTTCGACCAAATCAGTCCACACAGCGGTACATATTTCTTTTACCTTGTTCAGTCATTTTTTCCCTTTAACTAATTCGATAATATAGAATAAGTTTATACTATCACTATATAAAGATAAAACGTAGATCTTTTTTTTTTATATGCTGATTTTAGTTATGTACTTTGTCATGCATTTATATTTAAATATTATGGACCCAATCAAAACATTTATAATATTGAGGACTCATAAAGGCGATCAGAACTAACTGCATTATGTTTCTTTGTAATGAAAATGCAGTGTTCTTTCACATTATCGTTTATTAATTGGAACAATGGAGTCAGTAGTAGAATGAGTTGGTGTCTAATATGATGGGGTTGTAGAAATATACTCCATTGCATGTACATAGTAGCATTTTGTTTACATTGCACTGACAAATTTTTAAATGAATGGAGCATCTATAAATTCATTCAAAATAATTTTACCTATAGTAATTGAACTTTATCTTAAAGTAATAAAGCTATTTATTGTCATATTAAAGTTATAAAAGACGCATTTTGTTTACATTGCACTTGAAAATACTCCATTGATGTAATATACTTCCTCTGTTTCAATTTAGATGAGTTAGTTTGACTCGACGTGGAGTTTAAGAAAAAATAAGAAGAGTTTTGAAACTTGTGGTCTTAAAAGCATAAGGATAAAAAGATTTGTGGACCCATGATATTTGTGTGGTTATAAAAGTTTTTCATTAAGGGTAAAATGTGTAAAATGACGAATTTAAAGTTAAATTATTTCCAAATTTAAAAATGTGTCATTTATTTTGAAAGAGATTAAAAAAAGTAACTCATCTAATTTGAAACGAATGGAGTAACATTTTGTTTACTTTGCACTTGAAAATACTCATTTCATGTAAATAGAGCATTTTTGTTTATGTTGGTTGCATTGACAATTTTTTGTATGAAGTGAGCGTCTATAGCTTCTTTCTTGACCATGAGTTAGGCTAAGTATAAATATGAAATACCACAAAGTGTAATTACTTGCTTGGTCAAGACATATTCTGATACCGACGATTCCAAAAGTGAAAGGATTCAAGAAGATTAGGATGACCAAGACAGTCAGAAAGCTCTGTTCAATTAGCTCACTAGCTAAGAAACATCATCTTTGTATTCTCTAACTTTTACCCTGTATAGAGATTGAGTAAAATCACATTTTCAGCCCATGAGCTAGATTGATGGTTAATTTGTGCATGGCCTCACACATGTTTGGTGGTGGTGATGCAGCAAAAGGTGTATGTGAAAGGAGGAGGTAATAAAAAGGAAGAACAACCACTTGAATTAGAGGTGTACAATCAAGGCATGTTCAAGACTGAACTCTGTAACAAATGGCAAGAAACAGGGGCATGTCCATATGGAAACAACTGCCAATTTGCTCATGGCATTGAAGAACTTCGTCCAATCCTTCGCCACCCCCGCTACAAAACTGAGGTATGCCGAATGGTCCTCAATGGTGATCCCTGTCCTTACGGTCATCGCTGCCATTTCCGTCACACACTCACTGACCAAGAAAAGCTCATGAGATCACTCAATACCAGGTCTTAAAAGTGATCAAAGTAACTAATAAGTAAGTAATAACCTGATGGTTTTCAGAACCAGATACACTTAAATTGAAAGATCTGTTTATAACCAAGTAAAATAATTGGAACAATTGTGAAAAGAATGGATGCAAATTGAGAAATTGACTGTGTAAGTAAAAAAGAATAATTGCATCATAAAGTCAAGAGGATATATGGTTGTGATAAAAAGAGAGTGGCTTGATTGCATAGAAGGTGAATAGTAGTGCTGGACTCGTATATTCTCTCACTACTCTTGTAATTCTCTTTACGTTAATGTCAACATTTGATACATAATGATACTTCTGTCAAAGTGTTTGTTTGTTTTGTATCTTCTAAAGCTAGATAGAGAGAGAGTCTTTAGTGATGATTAATTCCAACCATATCTTTGATTGTAATTCAAATGTTGAAATATTATAGACTCCGTGGGAAGTTACTGATTTCTTTGGTTTTACTTCTTTTGGAAATGTAATCATTGTACATTTAATTTCTGGTAAACATTCTTCAAATATTCCGTTTCTCCACTTCAAGTTGCTCAATCATGTCGAGATTGGTTATGTTTGTTATAATTTGAGCATTATTTGTGTGGCTTTTATTTGATGTGACCATAGTCTATACCTTTTGCTTTGGCATGCACCCTTGCCGCTGCCTATGATATCTGTAGATGCCACCCTTATGCATACAAATTCATTGTTCAAATTAGTGAGACATCATTACCAACAATTCAGTTGGCTTATTTTATATTTATTGGTACAAAGAATGAAAGACAAGGAACTAAGAAACACAAGAATCAAACGGAGACACAAATGAATAACAGGGATGTGTTGCAAAGTTCGTCGCAATTAAATGGATGTTCTATTTGCGACTACCCTAAAATACACATGATATAATAGACACATCAAATCGACAACAAAACCAGCAGTCAGTGCAATCACTATCAGAAGTACAATCTTTTGAGCAAGTTAGAATATCATTTCACTGTGGGAGAAGTCTCCTCTTGATTCCTGAGAAATTATGGCCAACACTTCGTGTAGCACTAACTTGCTTCTTCAAGAACCAAGAGACATTGACTGAACTAGTTACCATCAATAATCATTAGAATCAAATGTTAGCCGTATAAGATTTTAAAAAACACAGATTCAAACATCAAGCAAATAGTTAAAACATAAATGAAAGGGTTATCCCAGTTTTGGCTTCCAAGATCTGGAGCAACATCCGATATCGTTATGTTATAATAGCACATTTGCCTTAATTACACCGCCACTTGGCGTCCCTGTTTGCTCTCTACTACTCACAGTAGCCAATGACAGAAAGCCAATGGGAAAATCTCTCTCATTTCTTGTATGCTTCAGACTTCTTAAAGTGCTAGATTTGGAGCGCGTCAACTTCTAGGATAACTTTCTAACTGAAATAAAACTGCAAATCCATTTGCCATATTAGCTGTTCGAATAGGTGCAACTTCTATTCCCAGTTGGATAGACAAACTGGCATACCTAGAAACACTTTTGATTACAGGATTATGTGGGGAAGTGAAGCTACTAGACACCATTTGGAACATGGTAAGGTTGAGACATCTGCGCATAAGTGATCGGCCATCTTTTGGTTTCAGAAAGAGGTTATTGAGAACTCTTCCAAGTTATATGACTTGGAAACACTTTCAACATGTCACGACCCAAAATCCCTCCGAAGGAGTCGTGAAGGCACCTATTCTCTAAACTAGGTAAGCCTAACATTAACTGAAATAACATGGATATTTACTAACTTTAAATTAAATTACTCGGAATAAATTACAATTCCCAAAACCGGTAGTACAAGTCATAAGCCTTTCTAAGAGTAGTTATACAAAATAAATACATCATTGTAAATATGAAAGAATGGCTATAAGCAAATCATTGTTTAATTTGTCAATCTTACCCTCCATAGCCATGGGATCATGTTCAGGCCGAACACGAGAGGTACAATACTGTTGATCAGCCATTTTTTCTTCTTAGTTAGGCGGCGGAGACAAAGTAAAGGTGCACCATTTGCAGGAATGCATTTAGGGTTTATAGGCAAAAGTTATAAGCCTGAACAGATTGGATTCGGTCCCATTTTGGAGAATTCGGATCCTGATAATGTATGGATGACGTACATAGGCAAAACACAAGTACTAAATAATTTCTTTTTTCCTTTACTTAGTTCGTTGATGTAAAATTATTTTCCATCCAATAGAAAATTCTTTCAATTCTACGAAAGAGATTCTTATATTCACACAATATAAGTAGATGCGAAATATAAAAATTTGCTTTTCGTAGTTGTTGAAGCAGTTTTGTTGTTGGAATCCTTTTTTTAAAGAAGAAGTTAATGGTCGAATAAGAAATAAGAGTAGTTCTTTCATATTCGATGAAAGAAAAAATCGAATAATTGGAATCCATAGTTGTGATGCATTGCTATGGATCTCGATCAAAAGGTTCTTTCTTGATCTAGCTACAGTGTCGTATTTGATTGGAAAACAAGTTATATCATGATTAATTATGTAAGAATTAGTTATTCTGGAATTGTCAAGGGTCTCTCGGAAACAGCCTCTCTATCCCTCCGGAGTAGGGGTAAGATCTGCTACAGTCTACCCTCCCTAGACCCCACTAGTAGGATTCTACTGGGTTGTTATTGTTGCAGTTATGGATCTTTGTTTTAAAAGGCAGAATTGGGACTCACGTGGAGCTCGCCCTGGGGCGGAGCACTCGTAAAACGCCCCTGGGCTTATATTTGGGGTTTAGTTCCGTGAGACTTACGCCTCGGCTGTCGGGGCTTACGCCCCGGACACACTCAACACCCAGCGTACTGGGCTCGCCTAATAGAATTTTATGCAATTATGTGTAACTAATCTTATAAATCCTTAAATTTTCTTAATAAATCATTGACTATTCAAAATTACTTTTTTCTTAATCATAAATTATTAAGCTGAAAATACTTTATGTCATAATTAGAAGAAAAATTATTGCACGTTATCAACTAAGACTGCTATGATAGTAAATTTTAAATAAATCTTTTATTTAAAAAGTATTTGTTTATTAACTTTTGTTATGTCTTTAATATATAATAGTCCATAATTTTTTTTGGTAATTATTTTCCTAAATGTACTTTTTTTTACGTTTATGAGATACAATACTTATTAATTTAATTACTCAATATTAACTAGTAACTATTTACAAATAATTAGTTATCATGGTATAATATGGTGAATTATGTGTCCCTTTATTAACTTGTTGAACCTTAAAAATAAATGATGCTAGAGAATCATATTTAAATTGTGAATTATATTTTTATATAAATTCTCTTTCAAATAGAAAGCATATTAATAAAAAGGAGTATTTAGAAAAATATCAAATTATAATATCGAAATTCTTTCAAGATTCTTTATTCCTTAAGAGATATATATCAGATTTCGTATCGAATACATTACTTTTGATGTTTGAATTGTAATGACGTTGCAGCTAATTTGCATATTATGATATATGTCATCCTTTTCGTATTATCCATATCTGAATTATAATTTATAAATATTTTAAACAGAATATTTCTTATAATTTTGTGATTTTAATGTGATTTTTATATATATTTTTTAATTTTATATTATCTTAAAATTTTTGAATATAGTTAATTTAAAGATCCTTGAGATTTACGCCTCGCCTCGTCAGAGGTAAAACGCCTCGCCTCACACCTGGCCTTTTAAAACATTGTTATGGATTAGTTATCCTACCCTCCCACAGGGATAAAAAATTACTACAATCCCGGAATAATAATATCGGGATTAGTTATACCACGATTTTATCTCAACTAAATATGGAATCAATTATCCTTTATCCCTCATACCAAACGAGCCCTTATACTTTCAAATTATAGGGACCTTGTTCATAATAATTTTTTCCTTTTCTCCGTAACTCCTTAAAATATTATTTGGTTATACATAAAACTGAATTTTTAAAGATGAGTTTCAAGTTTGAAAAAGTGGTAAACTTTTTCTAGTAAACAATATTTTCCTTCATCGTTTTTTTAAAATAAAATACATATCCAGACACAATTTCAGTTTCCAAATACTTCTCTTCAACTTTAACTTCAAAAATTAAGGAGCATAATTTTTTTAAAAAAAATTGCACGTTTTTATGTCCAAATCCCTAATAAGTGGATTACAATTCAAATTCTCATTTTTTAAGACCTATAACACAATAAACATGAAATAGAAGTCTCATGGACATCTACATTGATAAGTTGGTTAACATCTTAAAACTTATCATTCTCATAATACGTGGTCGTACTATTCTAAATATAAAATTAAATAAATGACCAATATTGTATTATAGCCATAAATTTAAAGTCCTAAAATCTATACCTCGATAGCATATTAAAATCGACAATAATTAGGAAATGCACATTTTTGCAAATTATATCAAAGACCTAAACCCAAAAAAAATACATAAGCTTTCCTATTTTCAGAGAGGATTGGAAGCGTAAAAATTAAAAAATAAAATCATACTCCCTCCGTTCAATTTATGCGAACTCATTTGACTGGGCACGAAGTTTAAGAAAAGAGAGAAGACTTTTGAACTTGTGGTGTAAAATGAGGCACGTATATTTTGTGTGGCTATAAATCATTGCATAAAGGTAAATTGATTCCAAATAAGGAAAAGGGTCATTCTTTTTTGTACGGATCAAAAAGGAAATAGGTTCACATAAATTGAAACGGATGGAGTAATAAAATGTACTCCTACAAACAAAAATGAAAGGTTTTTACATCACTATTCAGTGCAGAAAAGAGGCAGCTCTTCAAAAAAAAAAAAAAAGGAAATAACATAATTTCCCAAAAAAAATAAACTCTAAATGTATTCATAAAAAAAATGGAAGGAAAAAAAAAGAAGAGGAAAATGAAAATTAATTTATCTCATATCATCATCATCGTTGACCATGGACACTCAGCTCAAAGAGAACCAGGTCAGCAAATCACCAGCAACGCGGCGGCGCGTGATTACCACGCCCCATCGGAGCCCAAACTCGACCGGCAAAGCGGACAATTAAAATTCAGCGTATTGAACCACCCATCCAAACACGCCGTGTGAAACACGTGCCGACACGCTAACTTGCGCACCGGTTCACCATCACTCAACCGGTTCAAACAAACCACACAAGTCCCCGAACCGGAACCAGTTTTTTCATCTCCTTGGTAATAATAAGATAACACCCGGTTCAAATTGAGCTGCTCGGCGAGGAAAATAACGCCGCTTAGACCGGACCCGACGGCTTCGTATAAAGAATCGTCGAACTGATCGGGAAAAAATCGGGAAGAAGAGAAACCAAAACCAATGAAGTGAAAGAAAGTAAAGATAACGGAACGGAGATAATTAACGGAGTTAGCAAAAAGGGTTACCATTAAAATTGGGATTGATTCAGAAGAAATGTCAATTAACTGGTTTTGTAATCCCATATTTTTGGTTACTACTACTATACTATTGTAACTATTCTATGGTTTTAGTGTTTGCTTACACTTTTTTTCTTTCTCTTCAATGGAAAAGGGGTTATATATAGTTGAAGTGTGTGTGTGTGTTTTTATACTGTTATTGGGGGGGAGGNGCGTTTACGTAGCGTTCGCGGAAGGGTCGCACTACAATGTGATGTAATGTAAGCAGTCTACCCTAATGCAAGCATCACTAGCTGATTTCACGACTCGGACTCGTAGCCTATAAGTTACATGGAGATAACTTTACTGTTACCTCAAAGTTCCTCTTCTTCATTATTATAAGTGTCGGGTTGTTTTAAGAGTCCTCCCAGACTTAAACGATGCTTATATGTTATCTTCCACCAGCATAAGTATAGAGTAATTGTGTCTCACTGAAGCTTAAGCAAATATAAAGAAATAACCTCATGTTTTTTGTTTAGGTTAGGATTTAAATCCTAATCTTCAAAATTTTCACCCATCTTATTTAACCATTAGACCACATTTTTAGGTGCTTTTTTGGAAGATTGAACATGTAAAACACCTATGTCATGCAGGGACGGATATAGTGTATTCTCGACAGGTTCAATTAAACTCATAACTTTTGACGTTTAGTCACAATTTATATGTAAAAATTCATTAAAACTTCAAAAATAGTAAATATGAACTCATAACTTTAAAAATTTAATGGTTCAATGCTAAAACTTTAAAAGTTGAACTCATATGATTTAAATCCTGGATCCGCCTGATGCCATGATGTTCTTTTAATTTTTTTATTAACTACTATTGGATATAGATTTAACTAGTTTATACTCATAATATAAAATTATATTATCAGTATAATTAACAGTTCATAATAAGATAGTACTTATTTTTCTTTCTCAGATAACCACTCCCCTTCTACCAGCTTTTGAGTTTTTATAAATATTTAGCTAGCATTTCGACATAAATTTGGTTGAAACTTGATAAAAAGAGTTTTTAGGTGTTGAAAATTAATTTTTGGAAGTTGAAGTTGTGAGTGGAAGAAAAAATTTCATACAAAAATTGTCTCAAACCAGTTTTGCAGTTTTTGGAAACTTGAAAAAAAAATCAAAAATTTTAAAACACGAAATTCCATGAACGAATAATATTTTTAAGAAATAAAGTTGAGAAAAAGTAATTTCTCTTTTTAGCAAAAATAGTATGACAAACAAGTTGCAAAAATGGATCAATTTTTGGTAAACTCAGTTTTAGAAGAATTTCAGCAAAAAGATATGTCCTTTTTTGGACATATCTTTTTGCTTTTTTTTTTTTTTTTTAGTCCATTACTGGCCNGACATATCTTTTTTCTTTTTGCTTTTTACAAAGATTTGCTGTTAGTCCATTACTGGCCACACAAATAAATGAGAAGAAAGTTTGTTTAATATTTAATTGTACGCAATAGGGATATTCCTTTCAATATTCCATCAATTTAATGGGATGAAATTAGTTTTATGTAAAGAGAGCAACTCTTGAGTCACTTTAAAAATATTAATAGCATGTTTAGCCAAGTTTTTAAAATCAGCTTATTTTTTTAAAAATATTTTTCAAAAAGTGTTTTAGGTGAGAAATAGTTTGTGTTTGGCTAATTAATTTAAAAAGTACTTTTGAA